TATATACTTCTACCAAATACTCATATACCACATATACATCAAACACACATATATTTGCATATATACACCAAATTCACATATATTCATACAAATACGAAATATACAATCTAATTTTCACATATGGCAATTTTCATATAATTTTCACATACAAATACCAAATTCACAAAAAAAATGAAATAATAGAACCTGTAGTGGCGGAAATCAACGGATATGTAGCCGAAAAATTTGGTCTTGACCCGAAAATACCCTCACCGGTAAACCCAAAGACAACACCACCAAAAACACTGAAATTGAACAATTTATTGCAATTTAATCATCAAGTTCAGCTCTTAATAATCACCAAATGTCCCTAAAGACTAAACTACAAGTGGAAGCAATACAACAATCAAATTCATTTTTTTTTTCTAATCCAAAGACAACATCACTAAAAACAAGAAATTGAACAACTTATTGCCATTTAATCATCAAATGCAGCTACAAATCGAAATTAACATACAAATTAAAAAGGAAACAACAAAATCAACTAACCTTTCTTCAAGAAATGAAGCTAGAAATCGGTTCCAAAAGCCCTAACCACCCCTTGATCCTTAATCTCACACAATGTGGGGAGATATGTAGTTGGAACAACCTAATTGAAGACAAACTCGGTAGAAGCTGAAAGAGGCGAAGTGTGGGATGCAGCAAACAGAAAGCAAAATGGGAGAAATGAAGAAACTGTGTGCGTTTTTTTTTTTTTTTTTATCTGCGAGAGCCTTTAGCGACGACACTTTTAGTGGCGACAATTAAGGCTTTACCAGCGACGAAGGTCAATAGCGGCGACAATCTGGAGGGAAGGGTACCACGTCATTTTTAGCTAAATATTAGCGGCGACATTTTTACCTTTTAGCGGCAACACATATGTCGCCGGTATTAGGTTAGTGCGGATAAGCGTACCCCAACCGTTGGATTGGATATTTGATCGAACGGCTTAGATGTAACGGAGGGGGAAAATGTGGATTCGGGTGATAACCCTTTAGCGACGACGCTATTACCGGCGACGTATACTTTTAGCGGCGACTCTAGCATTTGTCGCCGCTAAAAGTACACGTCGCCGCTAATAATGTCGCCGCTAAATGGTGGTATTCTTGTAGGGTCTATAAAACGACCAACCATGAAATTTTATCATGTGAAAAGGATGTATTCGAAAGTTTCGATTAAGATTACATTATAAATATATTTGAAGATATAAGCCCTCGTCGGATACAATTCTAAAAATGATGATATTTTGACCCGACCCGCTACTAGTATATTTTAGTTTGTTATATGTTTCAGGTTATTTAAATAAGGAACCACGTGATTTTAGTGATTTTAGGTTCTAAATTCACCAATGATTGAATCAACCAATGTTTTATATACTAGTGAATCACCCCATTTGAGATACGAGGCATGCCATTTAAAAAAAATAGTAAGAAAATTTGAATATGTGAATGAAGTTTGTTCGAATTATCATTCATTTAATTAATAATCTGACTTAAACGATATTAAAGTTATAATTGTAATACATATTAAGTGCAACAAAATCATGTTAACACATGTTAAGTGTCATTTTCAATAGCAACCTATACCAATTTTCTTGTTTGATTCGTATATTCGTTCGAAAACTGGATCAATTTACGAAAACAACTAACACCAGTTTTCTTGTCTGATTCAAATAACGATTTGGCAGACAAGTTCAATATCACATAAACAACAAAAGACCAACTTTCTTATTTGATTCATATAATCATTTAGAAATATAGATATATTTTACCAAAACAACCAACTCCGGCTTTGTTATTTGATTCGTACAATGTAATATGCTTTTGGTTCAATCATTTATACATATACATATCTAATAAAACGAATTATTGAACAAGGTTTTAATTTGTGAATTTAGTGGCAACATTACTCGATATCTTTTCAATAAAGTCTTTCACTTCGGCAATAAGTTGTCCAGATTCAGGCAATTCCGGGAAGATATAGAATGCATGGCACATGTTTGGATACTCAAACAAATACACTTCTTTCCCTGACTTTTTCAGCCACTCATAGTACCTTTTTTGCCAGTCATTTAGGGCATCGAACCCGCCGACTACCAACATGACCGGCGGCAATTTTACTTCCGATATGTCCACCGCCTGTGGGCCGCTAACGTTGATGATTGGGTGGTCCCGGTTGAACCCTTCCCCTTCTGGCAAAAATGCCTTCCACATCCAATCTGTTCGTTTAACTGAAACTACTGGTGTTCCGGCGAGGCGAGTCTCAGAATCCGTTCGCTCCTCGCCGCCAAAGAATGGTTGAATTGCTACAACTCCGGCGACCTGCAAACATGATAACAAGCGTTTAACAACATTTACAGTAAAGGACACTTGTTCCGACGTCAATGACAACACCAGAATTTCATAATAACAGTTATTGTACCTTGAGCTGTTGGAAGTTGAATTCACATGCTCGTTGAGCAACATGATGAGCTAAGTTTCCACCGGCGCTTTCTCCAGCAAGAAAGCAACGCAACAGATTCGCTTTTTCCGGCAAAGATTTAGACCTGTTCTCTTCATCATCAAGAAACTTCAGCACATCGAAGCAATCATCATGTTGGGCCGGATACCGATGCTCAGGGGCAAGGCGATAGTTCACAGAAACTACGACGGCCGGGACTTTTCTCGCGAAGCGTCGGCACACAGCATCGTAAGTAAAAGCATCAGGGGAGAGGAAGACAAATCCGCCTCCGTGAAAGAACACGATCACTGGGAGATCGTCACCTTCGTGTTGTGTAGGTACATAGACTCGGAACCAGAGCTTACGAGTCTCATCTACAACGACATCGTGTGATGTTACGCCGTTGATTGATTTTGACGTTGGTGGGCTCCGGAAGTCGATTAAGGTGAGAATACGACGGTTGATGGTGCCGTTTTTCCGGCAAGATGCGTCAGTGACAGCAGAGAGAATGGAAAGAGTAATGCGTGTTTTCCATGGTAAGGAGAGTGACGGCTGTGGAGGTTTACTGGTTGCTTCCATTGACATGAAATCAAAGGGAAATGGCGGGTATGCCGTATGTGATAGTATTTGATCAAATATGTAATTTATAAGAATTAAAATTATCTATTATAAATTCGTGGCTTTGGGTCCACTCTAAGTTTATTTCGTAATCATACGCGAAATACATATATATTTTACTATATTGTTTTCAGGTATACTAATTGACTGTATTTTGTCTTGTAAGGTGTACTGATTTGTATTTTGATCTTGTAGTATAATCATTGTTTGCAACACATTTTGTTGCGAAAGGAGTATATATTTTCTTATATACAAGCTCGTCTCTCTTCAATCCTTCAAGAAACCGTATATGTTTAAATACACTTTTATTGATCATATGGAGTATTCCAACAAGATGTCAAGTGCTTTTTTTATGTTGCGTGGGGTGATGGAAAATAAACAATGATATTACAAAATATGTAACTTTACAATGGTAAATTATATTATATACTTTCATTCGGGTATTAACATTTTTCGATTGGTTGATTTGGTGACAAATAAGTTTAACAATCATAAGATACGTTTATTTTTCCAACATTTTGAACTAAAATATGTTGCTGAGGTATGTAATTGACGAGAGTGATGTGGTCCACAAGAGATGTTCTTAGTGTCTTGTTACTAAATATTGTGTAAATATTGTGAGGGAAATTGACTTTAAGTTAATTATCTTTTTGTTTTGTTCTCTGAGTAATTTTTTTTTATACATCTAGCTAACAAACTTTTTTGAAATTTCACATATGACATTATAACCGGTTGTAACAGATTACATCCGGTCATAATGGTCATATGTAAACAATTTCAAGAAGTTCGTTTTCAATATGTATACAAAAACAAAAAAAAAGTTACCTAAATATGAAAAAAACGAAAAACTAATGCCTTGATAAATCATTTTTTTTTATTTTACCTTCTAATTTTGATTTGGTATAAAATTTAACCTAAATGGTAAATATTTTTAAAACCATACAATTTTGGTAAATACCTTTTTAAAATACGCTATTTGGGTAAAAAAAAAAAAGGATATATAACTAAAGTCTCAATATTTTCATCGATTTGACAACAAAGTCCTAAACTTTATTTTTTTCAAAGTAAAGTCCTAACTACCGGCAGTTTTTGAGACTTTTAGCCCTTTTTTCGGTTAGCCTGTAATTAGGATTTTTTTTGTCAAAAAAATAAAGTTTAGGAATTTTTATGAAATCGCGAATTATGACTTTACTGTAAAAAAAAAATAAAATTTAGAACTTTTTTTGTCAAATTGTAACACCTCGTTTCAAAGACAAGCCCTAAAATTTGAGAATGTATTCTAAGTATTATTTTATTCCGATATATAAGATTTAAATAAAAGAGTTTTAGTGAAAAAGTGTGTAATTGGCATTATAATTTGTTTTGGAGGTGTAAAAAGTGCTTTCGGGGTTTGT